GGTTATCGATCACACTATCTGCAGGACGGCCACACACGTCACCCCTCTCTTCTTGTAGCGACTGCTTCACCCTATATTCACTTCAACCAAAATTACCACAAACTTTCCTCACGGGGCGCTATTCTTCAGGGACCCTGCTGGTGCATGCATGCCTTTTCTCAGTGTTCCCATGGTGAAGAGGGTGATGTGACTCCAAGCACAGTGAGTCCGCTCATGGTGAAGTAGACGATGCCATAAAGTTTCCTAAAACTAACTAGAGGGGACTCTGGGGTTGCGATCGTTCAGCGAACATGAGAATGATGGATACATCTGCCTAGTCTTCGTACTTGCGGGCGGCGAAACGTGCTTGTGACTTCGTTTATTGCTGGTTATGCATCGTTTTTAAGAAAAGAACGAACCCTTTGAACTTCATGACCCCGTTTGAAAAGGTAAGCCTAAAAAAATATAACGTGGTGAAGCACAACCGCTGAACATTTGCTGATTTTTGTTTCGTGAAAAAACAGCTCCAAGCCACACGAACACACACAGAGCCAGAAGCAGGCCAAAAGTACGAAGATTAGACAAATGTATGTACTACCCATCATTCCCGTGCTCGCTGAAGTGCCGTGCGATGCAGCTCCCGTAGACACTAGCGCCAGAGTTCCTTCTTGTGTATATTAGGAAACTCTATGGACGATGCGACTGGCATTAGAAAGTGTCAATATAATTTCGGGCTTATGAATGCCACTGTACTCGAGGCGGCTATCCATAATTAGCAATAATTCAATATAGCGCACCCCATACAAAATTGTAGGAAGTAGTAGTTGACAGGAAAGAGGCGCACTCGGAAATAAGCTTTATTTTTACATTTATTGCACATATAAAGCCGTAAAACCTCGTGATACCGATAGCTCTGCCACGTTGTCAAACAAAATAAAACCAATTTAAGCACCCACCACATGAATGGTCTCCTGTTTACGTCTGGCCACTTCAAGCTCAAATGTTAGTCCTAGTGCAGCAGGAGTGATTCTACTCTTGGAGGGGTGGTGGTAGAAACATTTATTGCCACTGTATAGCGTGGGGGCCGAGCCCCCTCATGGCACGTGGGTGCACCCTCGCGGTGAGGAGGCACCCTTACAAAGCAAAGGAAAGCCCTTGAAGTGCGATCCTCTTCATGGCGCACGAGATGATCCGGCGCTGATCGAACGCAGAAGTGCTGGTCATGATGGTCTCCCAGTATGACACTGCCACAGCCGGAGGTGGGGGATGTGGGAAGGTGGGACATGTGAGGAGGATGTGGAGGAAGTCTCCTGGTTTGTCGCAAAGTTTGCATGAAGAGGGGAAATGGTCTGGGTAACGGGCGTTTAGTAATACGGGGTATGGAGCGGTTCGAGTTTGTAGGCGTCGCCAATGTGTGGCCTGCGCTATGTTTAGGGATGGGGCTGGGGGTGCGTATATTCTTCGTTGTTCCCGGTAATACGATAGAATATCACGAAAAGAGAGCAAGCGCTCCTCGACCTGTGGAGGGGGCTCCATTTCTCCTGCCCGGAATGTGAGACCTCGGGCTAGAGAATGAGCCTCCTCGTTGCCAAGGAGGCCGGCATGTGCTGGCGTCCAGATCAGGGTTGTGGAGCACTGAGGCTGCCAGAAGCGTAGCAAGCGAGCAGCGCTACATGATATCAGGCCATTGGCGTAGTTAAGAATAGCTGATTTCGAGTCGCTAATGATAGTGGTGGCAGGTGTGGAGATGAGAGCAAGCGCGATGGCTGCCTCTTCTGCCTCTGTGGAGGAATTTGTGACAATTGAGCAAGAAGTTAGGAGATTTGTCTGATTGTCAGCCACCGCAAGGGCCATGCGGGATCTTGACGCATATTCCGCTGCGTCAACGTAGACTACATTCTGGTCCTCGCCATATTGTCTCTGGAGGGCCCGGGCCCTTGCCTTTCTGCGTTTCTCGTCGCGCACAGGATGCATGTTCTTGGGAATGGGCGGTACGTTTAGGTGAGAGCGGAGGTTAGAAGAAAGAGGGACCCTTCCAGGTGATTCTGTTATTGGGGATAAGTTTAATTGGGTCAAAAGAGCGCGGCCACTCACCGAATTAGACAGACGACATATTTGTGCCGTAAAGGTGGCTTCAGCGAGTTCCTCAAATGTATTATGTACACCAAGTTTGAAGAGTCTGTCATTGGATGTGCTTGGGGGAAGGCGTAGAGCTGTTTTTGTGCAACTTCGTAGAAGCGCGTTAATGCGGTCTCTCTCTTTTTGTCGGAGAGGTAGGTATGGGAGGGCATACGTGGTGCGGCTGACGATGTAAGCCTGGGTGAGGCGAAGCGTGTTTCGCTCGCGTAGGCCAGCCCGACGGTTCGCTATGCGACGAATCAGCCGAATGGTCTGCTGAGCATGTGTTTGGAGAGTCCTGATGACTTCTCCATGTGCGCCATGTGAGTAGAGTACTAGCCCTAGCACCCGAATTTTTGAGACAAGTGGGATGGGGTGGGCACCTAGCGTGAGAGAGATAGGGGGAATGGCTGAAGCATGCTGCTTCGGTCGGTAAAGAAAGAGCTCTGATTTGGAAGGGGAGCAGGTAAGGCCACGTTCTCGAACATATGTGTCGATGGTGGTTAGTGCCAACTGTAAGTGTTCTTCTATTTCGGCGTCACTACCACGGTTTGCCCAGACGGTGATGTCGTCGGCATAGAAGCTGAAGTGGATGTCGGGGATCTGACCCAGTTTTTGGGGCAGATGTAGAAGTGCTATGTTAAAAAGAATAGGTGAGAGGACTGCTCCCTGGGGCGTACCACGGGCTCCAAGCGTGATGCCGGCAGGCTGTGATCGCCAAAGGTAAGTGTTGCTGTGCGGTGGCTGAGGAAGTCGCGGACGTAGTTGTACATCTTTACGCCGACTCCCAGGGTTATAAGGTTCTCTAGAATAGCTGAGTGCGCAACGTTGTCAAATGCCTGTTTAGCAGTCCAAGACATTGATCACCTCTTAATTGAGCTTGTGCCGCAACATGCCAGAGCTAAAAGCCTCTTCATCCTGAATGTATACAGCAGCCCTAAGTGCTTACAGGGCAACTTCCAGCGCCTCTTTACGCTCGCGAAACGCATAGCCAATAAGTGCCCCCTACTCGTCGTGGGAGATTTCAATGCCCCACATACAGCCTGGGGTTATCCGCGCGACACACCAAAAGGACGTCGGGTGTGGTTAGCAGCGCAGCAAGCCGGCCTCTCACTGCTCACCGATTCTGCCTTTCCGACACGCATAGGGAATAGTGTCTGCAAGGACACTACACCAGATCTCTCGTTCGCACATCGCCTCCCTCATGCCACATGGTGCAACACACAAGAGAATTTGGGTAGTGACCATTACATTATCGAAATTCTCTTAAATATGCAACTACCCCGCAGGGTTCTCAGAGGTTCCACTTTTACCAACTGGGATTTTTTCCGCACTTATAGGGCAACACGCACCCACGCCTCTATCACGGACATCACTGAATGGTCAGAACAACTCCGGAGTGATGTCCGATCCGCAACTCGTCTAGTACGAGAGGACTGCCCAAGCGACACAGTTTACTCTTGGAGGGAGTTGATGCACTCTAGCCCGACCAGATTGTAAAACTCTGTGAGAGAGTAGCACAACTCCCCCTGAGGGTGTATGAACTCTGCTTCAGAAACGTGACTGTACTTTGGTGAGCGAGAGTGAACAAGCTCCCTAACCAGAGTACCAGCGCTCGGTCGAGAGTGTGTGCTTACTCTGTGCATAAGAGAGTTCCCAGCACTCCTGAAAAGAGAGTGAAATAAGGGACAAGCTTCTACTACCGCAAAAAGAGTTGCCAGCACTGTCTCCGGGCTGCGAGTGTATTCAAGAAAGGCACGGACGAACATTGCAAATAAACGCAAAAATGAATATGTGGTCCTTCGAACGACAAAAAAGCCTAATGATGCTTGCAAAATGTGAAGAAACACCTTTGTACCTTACAGAGTCAACATGGTTTGAAGTGATCCCAGCAGATCTCAACCATCGCGCATCTGGCTTCTCAAACGGAGTCCAAAAGTAGTTTGCCGTCAGTTTAACGTATGCAGTAACCATAAGTACACCAAATGATAATCGAATACACATACGGACAGAAATTGCACAGCAGATGTCCGAAAAAGGTGCGTGAAACACGCTGCATACATGCGAAGCTTGTCGTGTTGGGCATATCTTGGAGCTCGAGCCCCAGAAAAACAAAAAAAAAAGCGAGAAAAGGCACGCGAGGGGCAGGTGATGGCGTTCTGCCAATGGCAGCACAGAGCATTGGGGGAAAGTGCAGGAGAGGAGAAAATAACAATAAATGTACTTAGTTTTATTTTATTCAGGGGCTTTAGCTCACCTCCCACGCATACCTAAGAGGTAGACATTATTGCACGCGCGCTTTTCTCGCGGTGTGGTAGCATCGTGCGCCTTGCGCTTTCACCGGAACGATCGCATCATAGTTAATGGGTGCACAAACGTCACTTCGCTCACTGCACAGGTCTCGTTAGCGCGCTTTTCAGACACAGCGAAGTAACAACTGGGACACTTGTTTCATTGCTTCACCCTTGTGACGAAACTGGGTTTTTACGCGCACAACGCAAACATTATGGATTATTCTGGAGGCCGCTAGCGATGACGTTGGAATATTCAACAGCACACGAACAAAATGCCGACGCGCTTTATCGCTTGTCAGTTGATCAACGGCTGATGCTCTGTTCGCCACTATTAGTGCCAGTGTGTGTTGCTGCAATCCGAATTTGTTTGCCGGCCACAACTTTGGCCAAATAATCAGTTCCATCTTAGACATATAGTCTGCTCTCTTTGTTCACGTCTCGACGCTGTGACAATATCGTGAAGTCCCGTTTCCAGCCCAGTGCTACAGCCAAAGGTAGATTACACAGCGCTAAGTGGCCCGAAGAGGCAGTTTGGAACGCACTGATGAGGTCCGTGAACTTTTGTGGCTGACTGCACATGGGCATGAGCACAAAAAATAAGGACATGCAGTACTTGCATGAAAATTTATTAAACAAAATCCATAACAAGGAATACTGCTTAGCCAAGTGTGGCGAGATTCGTGCTCGTAACATTAATACTGTACGAAAAGAAATGCAATAAAAACTTGCTTACCAACACATTCAAAATAAGAACCTTAATAATGTGATAAATAACAAGGCTACACACTCATGTGAGACAGCTTGTGCTAAGTGAACATGCACATGTGTGCGATATTTTTGGCATAAAACATGAGGTAAATGACAAAACGCACTATATCTTTAAAAACGTGAAACTAACCCAGTATACAAATAGTAGTAGTAGTGCTAAGTAAATGGCAATGACAGTGGCAACTTATCCGAATTGCTCCCATACTTTCAAGAACGAAGCCAATCTACAAAAAACCTCTTTTTAAACATATCTGACAACATCACCAGGCTTTTAACCTTACCAGCCGTTACACAACCATACAAGTTCGAATGACGGGGGCTCCATAACAAAACGTGAATTCCCGCTCCTTAGTAAAATAGGAGATGGTGCATGCCACAGAACTATTAGTACTGTAGAGTGATAGTTTTGAATTTGATGCTGTAATCTTAGTCAGAACCGCACATCACTGCCGATCCCTTGTCCTTGAAACTCGTGCGGCCGATCGTATGTATAGTGAAGCCAACCCCAAAGACCCAAAATTCCTATCTTGGTTTCCAACAAGCTGACACTTGGAGAATCTTGCACTGTGCCCCTAAATCAAAACACTCAGTGACCAAAACACAATTAGAACGCACAACAGAGACAATGAATCTGTTTAAAATCTCAAAATGTGTAGATCACAAATACGGCAGAAAGTGCATAAATACATTTGGTTGTGCAATGTGCATCTATTTGCCTCAATGAGCAATAGTGCACAGGAACTTGCATCCTTATTGGCACACATTTTAAACACATACTTTATGCACAATGAAGTTCTACATGCTGATTAAGTTCCCTTCTTTAAGAGAGGCATTGGCCGACGTCCTGCATCACTCAAATTACAGTGCACTTCTCTCAACTGTTCAAAAGAACGGTAAGAAGGAAAACTAAAATGAAAGTCTATGTTAGTATACTGTAGTTAAAGATGTACAACTGCACCAGCATCATAAAAATTTCAAGCTAGCACTATTGGTTTACTATATAGAGTTATTAAAAATATAGCACGACCTTGAATTTCAAACTTTTGTTAAAAAATACCAATGAAAAATATCATCTAAGTAGAAATATGCATTCCTTATTTCAAGGTTTTTTAAAATCAGCATCCTTGTAAGATACAAACCTCAAAACTCTGAGGGAGGGCAAGTTTTGAGGCCTTTACAAATCCTTAACATGGTGCACTAGAGCAAATAAGGGATGTGGAAATCATTCACCATACTACAGAAGTGACTAGTCTCCAACTCTGTTTCAATTTTCGTTCACTGCACATCGACTTACACTGACTGCAGAGGCATGCTGAAAGATGGACCTGTACTGCACTACATTTAATTATAGATGAATAAGAATGTACAGAGTGAACTTTACCTGTTCACTGGTGTTGATCAGTACTTGCCCAGTACACACACAACCCAGAAATGGCAATACCTCGCATCATTCAAAATTTTACAATGGCCCTTTTTCGGTTAGGTAGACTAGACATGCGCCAAGATTTGTGGAGGCCAAAACGTTACGACAAGTGCGCAACAAGTGACATCTGGTGTCACAAACATGCAAGTGGAGCCACCACAGAGAAGCGTGAGTGCAGGACTCCGAGATTATCTATCGGCATGCAGCGGACCATTTGGAGTCTAAAAGCCACCAGTTTTATTTCCACTTATGATGCCGTTTAGACTAGGAAGAGGTCCAATGCATGGAAGCTCAAGGACTGCAAAGGCGAGGTTTTAGTCAGATAAACAGGCAAGGTGGGAGAGGTTTGGGGGGACAAAAGATTACGAAAGTACAATAAAAAATACACGCATGTACAAATAGCTCTCAACTCTTGGATGGAACAATTCAGGTTGTAGAGGCCAAGTGTGCTCGATTATGTTTGGCTGCGTATAAGAAATGGAAACGGAAATGATGCAGCCAGAATGCAGAAAATATTCTAAACTGGGAAGAAGAAGGCGGAGCTAGCACCAGCTCATGTGTGAAAGCGTTTGCACGCACAGCATGGTTGCCAGTAAATGAAAGCCCTGCCCCGCTCATCCTCACCCGTAAATCTTTTCACAATTTGCTAGTAGGCAAGCCAAGGCAATCCAATATACAAGTCCACAGGCTCTCCACTTTGTGGACAGGTACACTGACGGAGGCTTCACACCGCCACTCGAACGGTGAGCGGAGAGGAAACGGCAGGAGCAGCCGAAAGTTCTTCCTCAACGTCTTCCTCGGCCACGGGTTCAGATGAACGGATCGGGAGAGTTCGGCTTTCCTCGCGACCGGAGCCGACAACTTCTATTCGGTCGCGAAAGACTGAGACTGTGGAGAATGCCACGCTCTCGGGCTCAGTCTCGATGATTCCCGCCAGAGCCATGTAGTGCGTGCCGCTGGCATCTGTGGAATAGCCGCAGCGGTGCGTGTGTCCGCACAGGTAGAGAGCCACGCACGAGTGTGCCTCGAATAAGTCCATTACGTCCCTGTAGTTCCATAGGAGGCAGTCGGCGTTGGCACTTTCAGGAGATATAGCCAAATGGCCTGAAAGTACCACATTGATCATTCCACTAAACATTTATGTCAGAAATTAACCAGACTGACAAAGCCAGTCGAGTTATTGAGTAGGCCACGAAAAAACTGCTAGGCACTTCACCACCTTAATAATTTACAAATATTGCTAGCACAATCTGCTACTTACCAAAGACAATGACCACGTCGCCTGCCGCATCTGACTGTGCCAGCTCGGCGTCCAGCCACTGTAACTGTGCCTCGCTCAGTGCTCCGTTGGAGTCGATAAACCTCTTGTCCAGTCCCGAAAGTGCATCCGGCCACTCCCACGACGGAGGGTCCGATGTGCCATGCACCCTGGTCAGCAGCTCAGCCGCCTGCTGCCACCGCGGCTCAAATGGATCACGACCAAGCACGCTCTCTTCAAAGCAATCCAGAGATATGAGCTTGACGCCTGGCACGGGGCTAAAGCTGCATGCAAAAACAACAGACAAAAAAAAATAAACATACAGAGGTGAATGGTTTGAACAAGATGATATAAACAGCTTTGCTTAACCCATAAGAGTTGAAGAAAGTTGTTGCACATATTCTGCGATGACGATGACAACTTGCCAACAAAACCTTGGGTGTTGCCCAGAGTGCTGCAACACCGATGCTACAGTAGAATCTCGATGATACAATTACGCTTGATGCAAATTTCGCGATGATATAAATTTTAAGGTTGCTGGGGACGGACTACAATATATAAAATACGCCTTGATTCAGTGTTATACAAACGGTTTCTCCAGCCACTGTGGCTGATGCAAACGTGCAATTGATTGCTGCACACGAGCGGCGCAATGCCGCTTGTCTGTGGGAGGAAGGCTTCTTCACACTTGGCCTCGAAGAGAGCAAATACGGCGAAACTCACCGAAATTTCCCTCGCTTCGCCACCGGAAAAGAGACCGGAAATTAATTCCGCGAGGCCGGCGCGAGAAAAAAAAACGGTTCGGGACAAATCTTGCCGCTACGCGATAGCAGATCGCCTTTCTGCTGCGACTTTGGCTACACAGGCTGCGCTAGCTCTCGAAGCATGCGATGTAATGATTTGATTGATTTGTGGGGTTTAACGTCCCAAAACCACCATATGATTATGAGAGACGCCGTAGTGGAGGGTTCCGGAAGTTTTGACCACCGGGGGTTCTTTAACGTGCACCCAAATCTGAGTACACGGGCCTACAACATTTCCGCCTCCATCGGAAATGCAGCCACCACAGCCGGGATTTGATCCCGCGACCTGCGGGTCAGCAGCCGAGTACCTTAGCCACTAGACCACCGTGGCGGGGCAAAAAGCATGCGATGTAAACAACCAGCCGTACGTTCAAGATGACTGCCCAGGCGTACAGGAATGCGGTAGCTCACGTCGGTGAAATCGTAAACTACCCGCGCAACACGACAAAACTAACGGCCTTAAAAAGACCCTGTTAATCGAGATTGATTACGATCGCTGCCAACACCAAAAGTAGAAGGTGCAGGTGCGACGAGTTGGCATGCGCTACCTAACATGTGTCTTTCGCACTGCTAGCTGAATCCGCACACGCCGCTACTTCTGCTTGTGTCATTTCTTCAGACATATCTCCCGAAAAAATGTTTCTAAAGGTGTAAACTTTCTTTTCAGTGCTTTGCATGCATAACTAGAACTCGATGGGGACTTTAATGGTCAGGAATAAATTCTCAAGAGGCAAAGACGGCGGCGGTGGCATGTATATGAGGGGCAGAACGAATGAACATTTTCGATAGGTACGGACGTGGTTTTGCGGCCACTCTGGCGTTTCCGCTTGAATTATCGAGCCTGAATTACCTTGAACTGATTTGAAATGAGAAGCATTTCTAGGTGAGCTTCGGCAAGTTTGACCTATCTATCTATCTATCTATCTATCTATCTATCTATCTATCTATCTATCTATCTATCTATCTATCTAATTCTGTATCGATCTAGCCGCTTACGACTTTTAGCTCTTCAGGCCGTTTCGATAATGGTATCTATATACCAACATTGGTATGCCATAATATTGTTACATGATTTCGGCTGACTGAAACAGGGCATAGTGGGACATACCCAAAAAAGGTGCCTCAGACTGAGAGTGAAGAGTGGACGTTGTCGGTGAGCTGCGTTGAGGCTGTAGACTGACTACTGTTATTTTCCACGTAACATTTTGGTGGAAGTGCTGGGGACTCTTCTGACAACAGAGCTACGCAGTGGACGCCTCCTTAAGTCTGCTACCATGGCTCTGGGTGATGATATGGCTTCACCACCTACCTCAGCAACGACAGCAACCCGGTACGTCGCCCTAACGCAACCCCGTGATCCCGGTACTTTTACTGGAGAGGAAAACGCGAATGTGGACAAGTGGCTTAGTATGTACGAGCGCGTCAGCAAGCAATATGGCTGGGACCCAACCGTTATGCTTGCAAATGTCATTTTCTATCTTGATAAGACCCCTCGCATCTGGTTTGAGTCCCATGAGCACGAAATCACAAGCTGGGAAATGTTTAAACAACAGCTCCGCGAGCTCTTTGGCAACCCATTTGGTCAACAGCTTGATGCCCGAAAGCAATTGGCCATATGTACACAGACGTCCACTGAGCCCTACTTGACTTATATTCAAGACGTCTTAGCGTTGTGTCAAAGGGCCGATCCCAACATGACTGAGGCCGACAAGATTTCGCATGTTTTAAAAGGAATCGCCGACGATGCGTTCAGCCTGCTTGTATTTACCAACGTAACTACCATCGACGCCGTGATCAAAGAGTGCCGCCGTCTCGAGCAGGCGAAGAGTCGACGCATTTTGCAGCAGTTCCAGCGCCTACCCAACACCGCGGCAACGTCGTCTTGCGAAGCCACTCCTTGTCATCCGTCTACAACCGAAGACGTGACGCGCATCGTCCGACGTGAACTCGAGGCCGCTTACCCGGCTGCCAACAAACCGACGTTGCCCGACGCCTCAACGCCAGCTGTCGCCTTGCTCCAGGCTGTTGTCCGCCAGGAATTCGCTAACCTTGGTATCCTGTCCACTGCACCTACCCTGGATAATACTGGTCCATCGATAGCTTCTGTGGACATGAGACATCGCCGTCCGTACTCTATTCGAACCAGGAACCCGTCTGAATGGCGAATAGCTGATGATAAGCCAATCTGCTTCTGCTGTGGTCGCGCAAGACACATCGCTCGTTACTGCCGCAGCCAATGGCCATCTATGTCTTCTGGCTCGTACCCCGCTTACAGTAACTCATTCCGTCCACCAAACCACCGTTATCTGACCCGCACTGAGTCTACAGCATTTACTGTCCCTGAGGACTACGGCCACCCTGTCCGGTCGTCGCCACCGCCTCAAAGCCACCCTTCTCGTTCAAATATGCGTCGCCGCTCTCCCTCGCCATCGTTTAAATGCCGCATGTCCCCGGAAAACTAGGCTGCGCAGCTTCTGGTGGTGAAGCTGCCCTGTCGACCTTACCCAAAAATCCTCTGTTGCCTTTACGTTTGAACCGAAACACCCTAGAAATATATGTTGATGGCACACCTGTTGAAGCATTGATAGATACGGGCAGTCGCGTCCGTATTATGAGTTCGCGTTTTCGTCGTCGCATGAAGAAGGTCCTCACGCCCCCCTTGACCAGTGTCGTCCAAGTTGCAGATGGCGCAACAGTCCCTATCGTCGGTATGTGCACAGCTCAACTTACCGTAGCCGGTCATCAAGTGGCCGTCCTTTTTACCGTGCTTTCAACATGTCCCCACGACCTCATACTAGGCCTCGATTTTCTTGCCGCCAATTCTGCTCTGATTGATTGCTCCAGTGGTGTGCTCCGCCTAGAACTGCCACAAATCAGTGACGCCCCGTACCAACCTACATGCCGATTACAATGCAGCGATTTTGTTCACCTGCCCTCCAAAACTGTGGCGTACATCGATTTTCTGTGCTCACCAGCTGTGCCCGACGGTGACTATTACGCTACGCCTCTCACCGATGTACTCCTTGCGCACAATGTTGCAGTGCCCTATACGGTGCTCAGCATCACAGATAACAAAACTTGTCTACCACTTGTAAATTTCGGCTACATGAATCATGTGCTTCCACAAGGCATTTCCGTGGCCCACCTGTGTCCGTTGCTCGATTCACAAATTGAAGTGCTTGCCTTAGACACCCTTGTTTCACCGCAGTGCACATCACTCGCAACACATTTGGGCAGCCGTCAGATTGTAGACATGATCGCCACTGATCTTCCGCCTCCGCAAGTTGAAGCCCTACATCATCTTCTCGAGGCCTACCAGGATATTTTCGATTTCGGCGACCGACCTCTAGAGCAGACGTCCTTTGTCCAGCATCGCATACACACAGGTGATGCCAACCTTGTTCACCGCCGTCCCTACAGAGTGTCTGCTTTTGAGCGGAGCATAATTCAGAAGGAGGTGAACAAGATGTTAGCGAAGGACATTATTGAACCATTCTCCGGTCCCTGGGCATCCCCGGTGGTATTAGTTAAAAAGAAGCGACGGATCGTGACGATTTTGTGTGGACTATCGCCACCTTAACAACATCACCAAGAAAGACGCATACCCTCTGCCCCGCATTGACGACGCCCTTGATTGCCTCCATGGTGCCGCCTACTTTTCTTCCATCGATCTTCGTTCTGGTTATTGGCAGATTGCCGTGGACCCCATGGACCGAGAGAAGACGGCTTTTGTAACACCCGATGGCCTCTACCGATTCAAAGTCATGCCTTTCGGCCTATGTAATGCCCCCGCCACCTTTGGACGAATGATGGACTCCCTGCTCCATGGATTCAAGTGGTCTACATGTCTTTGTTATCTGGATGACGTGATCGTGTTTGCTCCCACTTTTGAAGCGCACCTTGAGAGACTGTCAAAAATTCTTGATGTATTCTGTCTCGCCGGCCTTCAGCTGGATTCATCCAAGTGCCGGTTTGGTCGCCGTCGCATTACAATACTTGGACATATTGTTGACGCTTACGGCGTACAGCCTGACCCAGAAAAAGTTCGAGCTGTGAAAGACTTTCCTGTGCCAAAAACTGCCAAAGATGTCCGCAGCTTTGTGGGGCTCTGCTCCTATTTTCGGCGGTTCATCAAGAACTTCGCGGAAATCGCTCGGCCCCTAACAGATTTACTCAAACCAGATGAGACGTTTACCTGGGGTCTCTCGCAAGCTGCAGCATTCTCCGACCTGACTACTTTGCTCACTTCTTCTCCTGTGCTGGCTCACTTCGACCCTACGGCACCGACCAAAGTCTGCACCGATGCCAGCGGTTACAGAATAGGTGCTGTGTTGGCTCAGCGACAACGTGGGCAGCATCGCGTGATAGCTTATGCCAGCAGGCTGCTATCCCCCTAGGAGTGTAATTATTCCATCACAGAGCGCGAATGCCTAGCGCTGGTGTGGGCAGTCGGGAAATTTCGCCCTTACTTATACGGCCGA